GTCCAAAAACGGCAGGTGCCTACCCTACGTGGACAAAGAATCCCTCGCTTCTGATTGGTCGCGCCCCTGGACCCTGAATTCCGCCGCCTTCAAAGGTATTCCCCACTTCCAAAAAACCTAACTTGCGACATCAACATTGGTTCGTTGACCCCCCCCCCTCCCGCCCCGCCCCCCTACCCGCCACAACCCCTCCTGGCCTCCGCCTGCTGCTCTGCCTGCTGCTCTGCCTGCTGCTCCGCCTGCTGCTCTGCCTGCTACACCGCCTGCTGCTGCCATCGTTATAGCGCCGTTACTCGCAGCGCGCCGCAAGCTTTCAATCGCCAGAAAGGTACCACGAACATCTGGAAAGAGACTCCCTAGCGTAACAGGTGGGAAAGGGCTTCCATCCGCAGGTGTGAAGAAAAATCAAAAAAAAGAGAGGCAGTAAGTATACCTGGTCGGCAGACGTGGTCGGCACATGTGGTCGGCATGTACTAACATTTCTTTTAGAGGGAGCTTTGTAGGAGATTAAAAAATGCCAGACGGAGGTCATAAACTATATCCTAAAGCTCGCGTTCGCACGCATCGTTAGGGATGCTATTATCCTTTTTACCGAAGACCACCTCCCTATACGGATCCAAGCGAGCGCACTCGGCATCCTCTAGGAACAGTGCGAGAGCATAGTGACGAAAGTCTTTTCGTCAGCCAATCTTCTCGCCATCCACTGCAAGCGAGTTACAGTGATGGCGAAAGATCTCGAATGTCTTCGTAGGCTGCTGAAGGAGTGGAATGTCTGGCCAGACAATTACGTAGTTGCTCCCTATAGCTCTGGCCCAGTCAACCCGAGTACGATGTATGAGCCTCGATCAAAGACGAAGAAGACGAAATCGAAGCCAACTCCAAAGAAGCCGACTGCGAAGAAGAGAAAGAAGACTCCCGCGTCCTTAAGCGAAGACGAGAGCTCAGATGATCCCGATAACCCTAGCGCTCAAACGGGTACTCAAACCGGTACTAGTGGCCAGACAGACGCCAACAATCAAGATCCTCCTAGCACCGATTAGGATAATAGCGATACCGGTGGCCAGACAGACGGGAACAATCAAGATCCTCCTGGCACCGATCAGGATAATGGCGACACCGGTAGCCAGACAGACGGGAACAATCAAGATCCTCCTGGCACCGATCAGGATAATGGCGACACCGGTGGCCAGACAGACGGGAACAATCAAGATCCTCCTAGCACCGATTAGGATAATGCAGATACTGGTAGCCAGACAGACGGGAACGATCAAGATCCTCCTAGCGCCGATTAGGATAATAGGGGTTTGAACGATTCAGACGGTGAGAAGCAGGCGACTATCGTGATTTCGAGCGGTGATAAGAGCTCGGAATACGATCCAGATACTGATCCTGGCGTTCAAACTAGTCATCCTCCAGCTAACAAGGAGAATGCTCAGGACGATGATACGGTACCCCTAACGACAGAGGATGAATATCTCCAGGCTCTCCTCGATCATGTTAATGCCCAAGAAGAAGAAGACGAGGAGATAGCTTCCGAGAATTCAGATTTTCCTTTTGGGCAACCAGGTATACCGCTCAGTCAAGCAGATTTTCAGTATAGCGACGAGGATATAGGTACCTAGGATCAAGATATCTCGCTTGGCCAAGACTACAATCCTTTCGATTATCCAGATTTGGAGGAGACGGGTCCTGATTCTCTCTAGGAGAGTCGACCAGATGTAGAGAGAGAGGATGAAGAAGAGGAGTCGCAGCAGGAGTTTGACGAGGAGATGACAGAATTAGAGGATATGGCAAGGGCAGCGTATACGGTGGCTATGGATCAAGCGAATAATCGGGGTACGTGAGAATTCGTAGCTAGGGGAAGTATCGACAAGATACTAAGTATACTTGTAGAAGAGCCTATTACCGAACGAGACAGACTGGAGACAGAAATTTCAGCTCGCTTTATCCTTAGAGCTACTTGTTTAAGGACCCTATTATTAATGAGGACGGAGCCGGCTTTCCAAGCGGCCTAGCGAAGAATAGAGATGCGTGAGGCCTAGAGAGTAAGGCAGCAGCATATAGTAACCGAAAGTCGGTTTAAACACTGGATGCGCGTTCTAGCTAGGCTAGAGAAGGAGATGTTGAAGCATTCACTATAAGCCTGAGATCTGAAGTGATTTGGTTTTTCTAATTTTCGTGGTCGGCAGGTATGGTCGGCAGGTATTATTAGCTATAGAAGGAGATGTCGAAGTACTTACTGTAAACTCCTGAATTAATTTGCTTTTTCCCAATTCTCGTAGTCGGCAGGCATGGTCGGCAGCTATTGTTAGCGAGTTCAGGCAGTACGGTATATACGAGGCTTATTACTGTTCCAGAAGCGCTTACTATGTTTATTCTATATCTAGAAGAGGTTTTACGTAATACCCATCGCAATACCCATTGGGTATACCCATTGGGTTTTTTCCGTTGGGTTGTACCCAGCTTATAAGCTGGGTACCCACCTTATTTGCGGGGTTGGGTATTAACGTTGGGTTGTACCCAACCCATACCCAACCCAACCTATGACGAGGCCTAAATAGGTTCGTCGCGCGTTCTGCGATCCTCTTATTCCTTTCCTATTAATAACCTACTATATACTAACATCCTTACCTGCCTGCAACTCTATTACTACTACTATATCTAGATAGCTATACTTCTACTTCTCGTTCTTCGTTTACTCTTGTAGCCCTATATCGTCCCTTAGTTTCCCTCGCCGGCTCCGCCGCTTTATTAGGCCCCTTCGACTATTATAGCGTTTACCCGGGGGTACGTAACGATTCCTTTCTCCGCCGTATATATAAAGGATATAGTGCCTAATAACTAGGACTATAGCTAGTCGGACGCCGACTAAGACGAAACCGGGTACGTAGCTATATACCTACGGTACGCAAAGTCGATCGCTATAGGGCGAGTATATAATACGCCTATATACCGCGTATACGACAGCTGCGCGAACAATAACAAAGCAGGATATAATAGTATAGGAAGGGTAAGTATCCGTCCGCCTCGCTAGGGGTTCGCCTTACTAACGAGTTTGTATATAGATCGTATTAAGACTCTTAAATAAGGTAATCGCCGTCTAACGCTAGAAGGATGCCTATAATAAGATCTAGAGAGAGATTACGGCTAGTTACCTAGTAAGCTCCGTAGAGGACGCGCGCGCCCTCGCGGAGGGCGACGAGGAGTACTGTCGCTAGGTAGTACGCCTCTATCTTATAGCGCGAACCCTTAACAGAGAGATCTATACTATTGAGGTAGCGTACTACTATATAGGGACTACCGTAGGTAGGCCTACTCTCGCGCTACAGTCGACCTAAGACTACTAAGGCTTGCTGCTCTTAGAGCAATTGCGTTCGCTAGGACGCTATCCTATATAGGGACCCTTAGAACGCCTCTAAGGGTCGTTGGCGGTAAGTCTTTAACGATACTTCCCGTTCTCGGGAACTAGCTAACTATATCGTAGCGTCCCTCTACTACCGCGGTAGACGCCTTTAACTAGACGCGTACGAGGTTCTACTAGGTAGTACCTACTATAGTATTACGCCTAGACGAAGCCCTAGCGGTTCCCTACGCATCGCCCCGTCCTTAAGCAACCCTACTAGCACCCCCTATAGGTCGGAGTTACCGTCGGAGTAGTCGCCCCGTAGTATATTCGTCTAACGATAAGGAGCTTCTAGCTACGGTACCGACGCCGGTAACCTCTCGTCGGCGCGGCGAGAAGGTACGCGAGGTTACCCTATCCCTAGAGCGGGGTCCCGTATTACTAGACTTTGTTCGGGATACCCTTCCTAGCCTACGTCGACCTAAGGCTAGTATCGTTCCTATATCGACTAACGATACGCCCTCTCGTCTACGTAGCGGTCCTACGGCGACTACTCGTCCTACTGCTTGTCCGGTAGTCCCTATCCGAGACTTACTAGCGCGTACTCCGGCGACTCGTCGCTAACTAGTAGCTCGCGAGACCCCTCGCCGTTCGACGGCCGGTCGTATAGTGCCTTGTACGCCGTATAGTAGTCGTACTTTGAATACTATATACTCTCTATTACCCGGCTATATAGCTAGGTACGATTTTAATACCCTAGAGGGGATCGCTACGGCTACCTTAGACCGGGTACTATATCTACGCCGGATACCTAGCCGTCCTGCTCCGATATTACCGTTATTACGCTTAATCCGGGGAACTCCCCGATTATCCCGCTATAGCGGTCGCCCTATTAAGAACCCTTAGCTAATACGTCGGTTCGATAATAGATACGACGAGGAGGATGTTAGCGATAACTAGGAGATAGAGGACGCACCGCCGCTAGAGGTAGAGGCCCTATAGGATAGGGACCTCCTTATAATAGGCGCCCTCCGAAGTGAATCCCCGGCGCCCGTAGTACTATCGGTCACCGTCGCGCCGCCCGTTCTAGCCTCTCCTCGCGTCTCTAGAGCGCCGTTATTTCGAGGCTTCTTACCCTTACCTATAGAGCGCGAGGCTTCTCGAAGCCTATTACGCCTAGTATTATACCTAGCGATTCCCTTTCGCTTTATAAACCCTCTTTCTTAAGAGTCTGCCTACGCCTCTCCCTTAGCGACTATACTACTATCGCGTCTGTTACCTCCTACCGCCTTTAGAACCGCGCCGTCGTCGCCGACTCGTCGGCAATTAAGCCCGACGGCCGAAACTTACTCTAGCCCGCCTTTGTTTATATCGCCTCGCCGCGAGGTTAAGTCCTCTCTCGACCCGGAGGAGTAGGGTCGGGACATCGACCTTAGTAGGGACTAGATTCCTAATATCGATCCGCGGTCGATATCGAATATAGGTTATAATAGGTTAGTAGCCGTCCTAAGGGATATTCGTCGCTTTCTTCTAGACGCGGAAGTCCCGGTACTACTACGTAAGATTTATCGGTTGCCTCCGTACCGGGCCCGCTAATAGGCTATAATATAGGCAGATTACGGGTTCTAGCGAGAGGAATACCTAGACAATTACGAGTTTAGGAGTCTTGTTCGGTACGCGGCGCCTAAGGCCTCGGAAGGTACCCGGGACCCTACGCCGGTACTAGTAAGCGACTACGCTATAGCCGAAGCGCCTTCGGCAGAGGGTAGCGTCGGTAGTTCGCGTATAAGGAGCGGAATATTTGGTATATTTAGTAGGAGGTAGCCGGGGGTCTACTAGGGTTGTAATAGTTTGTCTTATACTATATACTTTTCTTTTGTCTACTGCTCGCTCCCTTAGGGGATACCTACGATAATCTCTACTTATCTAGTAGCTCGTTTATGTTTTCGAAGTTGTCCTTAGGTTCCTAAGTATTAAAGTCCTTATCGTACCCTTTCTATCTAAGTCGGTATTCTGTCTCTCCCTTCCTTTTCCTTTTATCTACTATCTTGTCTACTTCCTATACTTCGGTACTATCGGCGGCGATATCGGGGGACGCTACGTTCGCTAGCGGAGCGCCGGGCCTTTTATAGAAGGGTTGTAGGAAGAAGATATAGAATACCGGGTATATATAGTAGGTGTTTAGTAGGATTAGTCGGTATACCTACTAGCTGTCGCCGACTACCTTATTAACCCGGAATAGGCCTAGGAATTTGAGGGATAGCTTCTTACTAGGCTAAGTCAGTTTTAAGTTCTTTGTACTTAGGAGTACTAGATCTCCTTTAGCGAAAGTCTACAGAGTGTAGTAGTCGTTATACTAGCGCTACTATCGCTTCTATACTTACTATATACGAGTCGCCGCTTCCGCTCGTACCCGCTCTAGTAGCTAGACTTTGTCCGATACTACCGGCGCCTCCCCTTTATAGTAGACGTCTACGTCTAACGTAGACTACCGGGGATGTTTCCTATATACTATTATAAACGGCGTCTCGCCGGTAGTCGCGTATACCGTATTGTTGTATACGAATTCCGCGTATAGTAGGAGGGACGCCTAGTCGTCCTGTCTATTAGACGTAAATATCCGAAGGTAAGCTTCTATCGTCTAATTCTAGCGTTCCGTCTGCCCGTCTGTTTAGGGATAGTACGTAGTACTTAGCC